CGTTTCGTTTACGTTTTCTCTACTGCTGTACCCCAAGCACCTGAAGTAGTGTTTAGCGCCCAGAAGGTGGGGAGATAGCAATGTTGATGAATTGCATTGATATTGAGGCAGAAACTGGGTTCCAGGAGTCTCACAAATGAACAAGCTGGAAGTATGGGCTCTGTTTGGGGCTGGCCTGGTTCATCTATTCCTGTTGGTTCTGCAGAGACGCTCTGAGTCCTCTTTGTTCTTGCCTCCTGCACATCTGTACTATCTGTCACCGCCTCAAGACAGGACTCACAGAACTATTTGCGGGGGGGTAAAGCATGGCGGTATGATCCAGGGTTCCAGTGTTTGCTCTGCTCAGACTCCAATCCGGAAGGTGATGATGGCTCCTGGCTCACCTTCTCTGTGGGGGGGGGGGGGGGGGGGTAAAGCATGGCGGTATGATCCAGGGTTCCAGTGTTTGCTCTGCTCAGACTCCAATCCGGAAGGTGATGATGGCTCCTGGCTCACCTTCTCTGTTTCGATTTACACACCGTTCCCTGGGCACCCAACAGCTAATGGGAGGCTCTCCTCCATTTGGTGGGCAGAATCATCTTCTGAGCGAGGTTCAAATCCAGAATGGATTTCCCAACAGGCAAAACCCTGTTCCCCATGACAATGCTGCTGCGGTCCCTCTGGCAGGGAGACCTCAGCAGGTACCTGTTTAACACTGTCCTGTTGAGTGTTCAGGTTCATGGTTTCACCTCTACGCAGGAAGTTTGTTTACAAACAGAGTTGACTTCAGCAGAGCAAATCATGTCCCCAGTACACGGGAGTGGGAAGTTCAGTGTTGGCTACTGTACCCTAACTGAAACTCCATCTCTTTGCTCCATTTTACCTACTGCTTATGTTGTCCCATGGGAATATTCTTGTTTCTTAGTTGAAGGGCTTGCTCCCATGTGCCCTTCTTAGCAAAGTCTTCCCCATTTGTTTGCCATAACCGTTTAGACTGCAGTTAGCTCATGATTCCAGATAGGAGGAAGACCTAGCTTTTCCTATGTAAGTCTGCCTAGATCTTTCTGGGGGCTCACTGACACCAGGTGTTGCTACACCTTGAGGTCCACTCACTCCTTAGAGTGCAGTACATATTCAAGTCTCCTCAATGACACGCAGATTCTCTATTTCCACCTGAAAGCTTACCATCCCTCAAGCCTCCCGAAGGCCGGGAAGCTTAGAGTCCTTCTCCGATTATTGTTAATGCCCGGCCTGACTTGGCAGCAGCTGTTGCCTGTGAACGAACAATATGATGCTCTCCTCCCCCAAGAGAAGCTTCGGCGGTGCGTTCCACTTTTGTGGACGCAGGGAGCGTAAAATAGAGTGAGGAATGAATGCGAGGCTCCTGTTTGGGGATTCAGTGCACAGCTTAGAAACTATTGAGTTTAGCCATTTCCTGACATTGACTTTCATAGCAACAGTTTAATTTGGAGAAAATCTGCTACCTCAAATGACTGAAAGTATTTATGTGGAAAATTTTCCAAATGAGTGGCTTTGCTGTGTTGCCATTTTCTTGCCCCATGAATATGTGAGTATTTGGCCTTCTCCCAAGAGTTCCTTTCTGCATGACTTCTCTTCAGGAAAAGGCACTTTGCTATCCAGAGCGCGAGCAGCGTCAGGGGTCTTAGCAGCGTCTGGGGTCTTCCTCTTGTAGGCAAAGCATTGTTCACGTTTCAACCACAGCACCTGTAAAAACTGAGAATCACTGCGTTGCCCGTGCCCTTGGATTTTCTCAAAGGTTAAGGTTGTCTGGATAACCTTGAGAACATTCCCTGTGGAATGAGGCCTCAGCAGCCAGCTTGTGCTTTCTGCAGCTCCGCCCTGTGCCCGCCTCCCACCTGAATCCGTCTCTTACAAAAAGGTTTCGCCCTCTGTCCCTCCTTCTGCCTTTCCCTCTATGTCCTCAGCCACCTCATAGCTGTCTGCTCTGGCCAGCATCACCAACAACTCCCCATAATTCAATGCAGTAATAGCTTTGGATTATAATAAATCTTTCTGTAGCATTTGACATTTTAGATCTCATTTTTCTTACCTTTTTTGAGGACTGTTTATTCTCCTTATTTCCTTAGTTTCTGCTATCTTTGTTCCTTTCTTAGGTGTTGTTTCCTTGGAAATCAGTCCTAACCTATTTCTATTTTCTTTTTTAACTTTAACTTTACTTATTTACATTTTTTAAACATATGAGCACTCTTAATGTATACCTGCATGCCAGAAGAGGGCATCAGATCCTATTATAGATAACTCTGAGCCACCATGTGGTTGCTGGGAATTGTACTCTGGACCTCTGAAAGAGCAGCCAGTGCTTTCTCTTCCTCACAAAGCCCCTTCAGTGTGGCTGTCTTACCCCTTCAGCCTGAGTCCATGTCACCCTGCATCTTGCCATATTTGTATTAGGTCTTACTGGATCTCTTTTCAGTTCCTCAGGCCTGCCATGACTTCTCATCTCTGGGCTTTCTTCTCCCTAGTCCACTCTTACTGTTTTCTCCCTCTTGGCTGGAAGCAATTCCTCTTCTGAGTCTCAGGTTCAGAATGCTTCTAAGACCGGCTCCCAAGTCTGGCAAAGGTCCCTCCCCCATGGCTTCCGCCTCATGGTCCCATCAAAGCACCCCCAGCCCCCATCTCTCAGCTGCTTCATCTCGAAACTTCTATTGTAGTGTCAGTGGTGCAAAGACTCATGTGTCTCAGCCATGTTGACTGGTCACTGCATATGCCTGATGCAATGTTTGATTCATGGCTGGCACTGGGCTTAATAAATATCTATTAAGTGAAAAAATGAGCCTCAAAATGAACTAAAAGTCAGCCTTCTTCATGATACGGGAATAATAAATGCCAAAGTCTCATTTGCAGTTTCCCCCTCACTAGTCAAGCTCCCCTGCAGGACCGACTATTACTCTCCCACAAAGCAGACAAAAACTTAGTTGCAGACAAAGCAACCTAAACGTCCCACAGGAAGAGGAACTTTCCAAGGTTCTGAGAATTAGCATATGGTAATTGGCAAGTCCCAGGGTATCTTTTAATTGAACCTTCACAGAAGTTCACTTAGCTTGTACTCCGTGCAACTGAGGAGAACCTCATTAAGGAGGCTGTGTTGTGTCGTGCCTTAGTGAAAACGGAGAGAATGGGAAAGTTTCCTACACGGAGGCAGGGGAGATGGGGAGCCTGCTGAGCTGTGGCTCTCGAGTCCACAGGTTCGCTTGGTACTGACTCCTGACACAGAAGAGAGCGGTAGTATGGCCATGACCTTCAGAGCAGGCTAGGATTGCCCCGCTCAGAGTCCGTTGTCACTTTTCTGTTTCACAAGCTTTCCTTCTGTCCCGGCCCTGCACTTCTCCCTTGTTGCCGGTTCCTGAGCAAGCAGACTGTCAGGAGCACCCCTCCCCGGGCACAGCTGAGGAAACGGTATGACAGCCAGGCTCAGTCCACCACAGCCTTCCTGTCCCTCTCCACTACCATTTACTTACTCTGTCCCATGCTCTGTGGGATTAGGATAAGACAAAAAGGGTGCCCATTCTTGTGCGCCAGTCCCATGCTTGCTGTCCCATCCCCTCTCTGCTCTTACACTCCTTGCCTCTCCAAATCCCCATTCTCAAGACCCAGCTCAAATGTTCCTCCTCCACGAAGCTTTTGTTACAACCTAAACAATACCTCCAACAAGTGGCCATCTCTCTTTTCTCCACCTCCAGGGGACCTCGTTCAACTCTGAGGCGTGCCTTGTGTCTATGTTAAGATATCAGCATCCAAGGAAGACTTTTTCTCAGCATGCCCGCACCATCGAGCACAGTGGATGTTTAGGGGCAGTTGGTGTAGGAGGAGAGCTCTAGGGAAGAGGACTTCGCAGAGGTTAATTGCAGGGGGTGGGAGGCTGGAGGCCAGGCTTGGGCGCTGAGAACAGTCATTCTAGGTTGTGTCTCTGCTCGGCTGCCTCATCAGCACGAGACTTTGGACAAATTGCACCATTTGTCTGAGCCTCCATTTCTGTGTCTCTAAAAGACAAAATTATACGAACAAAATTATACCCCTACCTATGATTGTTGTGGAGCCTAAAAAAAGAAATCATAAAGCACGTGCACTCAGCGAATATCAGAACCTACAGATTCAAGGTGTAGCGCAAATGGCCGCCATAGAAAATATCGGCAGGTGTACTAGGGGCAAAGGGCCTTTGTGCCTAAGTGACAAAGCAAGCTAAAGCTAAGCGAGAGAAGGACCAGCATAGCCTAATCCTCCGGAGAGCTGAGGTGCTGCTTGGTGAAATGGCAAATCTCGTCTCTGTAAGTCAATAGAATCCTCCTGACACGAAGACAGCAATAATCGAGGCTACAGGCTGCAGAGGAGACTGGGCGAGCCCATGGCCCGGAGATGTGTTTTAAGGCACCATGTTTTAATGTCTGATGATTTGGAAGGAGATGGAAAATGAATGGTGAAGGGAAACAGTCATGTTTTTGCTGCCATCTACAGATGTCAGAGTGCAATGTTTAAGGTTTTTTTTTTTAACATGCCCACAAGCCCACTTCACTGAACCACACTACATATAAAGTGTAGTTTAAGTAATAGTAACCTAAATAATTGAAGCACATTATTACGGTAATTTATTTGCCCTGCTTTCAAAAAGTATGAGCATTTAGTCAGGAATACAGTCTTTCTAACCCCTCAAGTTGTGTTCGAGCTTGTCATGAGAAGGCTGTGCCGTAACTCAGGGTTGGGTGGTTGTTGCTCAGGGTGCTATAACTGTAGCTTTGGCGGCTCGCTCTCGGGGTCAGCAAACCCTGAGTCCAGCTGGATTTCACTCCAAGCTTTCCCGTATCTCTCTGGTTACTAGAATCACAGTAAATTGCCTCTTGCTGTTTGAGTCTGAGAAATCAAAACAAGTGAAATCACCCTGTGGGGGGAGATGTCCCCCTGAGGTGTCTCCTGTTACACTCCTGTCTGTGTACTGTGTGAGTTATTTATGGCACACCTACCTGTCCTGTGTCTCTTTCCCAAAGGGTTAAATATAGACAAGAATTACTGGAGAAGCGTCTGATGGAGAGGAAAAAAGTGGCCCTTCAAGAAGTTCAGGAAGAGGAAGAGCGAGAGAGGCGGCTGGAAGCCCTTCGAAAACAGGTGTTTTCGATTTGGAAATCTTTTCCTCTGTTAATGTTTCTAAGTGTGCTAATGACATTATTACTGGGACTCAGTTCATGACATCTGCTATATAAAAATGTAACTTTTCCAAATTAGGACATGGTTTTCATTCCCAGGAGCCAGTTAGGTTTATGTTGAACCAGGTCCAGCTTCTTAATATATTTAAAGAAGTTTATCGGCAGCGTTTCAAAAGCTCTCCCAAGATCTAAATGCGACCCTATCTCCTCTAGTTCATGAGCCACACAGTATCTGTTTGCAGCAGCGAAACTGTTTCCAGTTAAAGGACTGTCCTCAAAAATGTGGTGGAACAAGATAGTCCACTCTGGAGTGGGAACCTGGTCTCGGAAAAATCCCACAGCCAACAAGCCTGTTAAGTACTGAGTTACAAATAGCCCTTTTGTAGAGAAACAAAAGCCTCCCATTGTCCTGCCTAATAGAACTAGGCGAAAGTATATGAAAGTAGACAGGGGTTTAAGAGATTGGGACATGTGAGGGAGTTCCTCTGGTAATTTTTCTAAACTTGAACTCACAGGTGATTTCTCGAACTGACAATTGCACAGCCTAGCAGGCACAGGCAGTGGCTGTGTACTTTCCTTTTTAAGTGAGAAGTCTTACAAGACCCATGGATGATGCTTGACTTTGGGTGTCCTTCAGCCCTGCAACTGCAGACTAAGTACTCAATGGCAGGAAAAACTTGAGTCGTTGACCTAATCTGCCTTGGCTCCATTTCTTCATCTGGAAAATGGGGATAATAATGGCAGCACCTGCCCCATTGGTTGTGGTAGTCAGAGATTAAATTCGTGAGCACTTACTAACTACAAAGCCCTGTTCCAATGCTCTCTGGTGAAGCTGGGCTTAACCTCCTCAGCGTCCCTATGAGGAAAGTGTTTTTAAGGCCCCCATATTGTAAAGGAGGAAACCAAGAGGTCAGGTGCTTTCTCCAAAGTCACATAACTAGTAAGTGTCAACTGGAACTCCTATGAGATGGCTCTTATGTCATTCTCCTCTTCAATAAAAGGAGCTGAGACTAAGTCAAAGTACAAGGACATAAATTCTTTGTGATAAATCTGAAAAACACCAATCATTCAATTATTATGATACATATTATGGCCATACATATTATGGCTTCCTGGAGACAGACTTACTGTCACAATTACTGAAAATTCTTATTACAAACCTAATTTTGATAACTACAGAGTCCACGTGACTAGAATTCTTCCTATCTAGTAGTCCTTTCAAGAAAGACATTTTCTGTTTCCATCACCTGTAGTCAGTTTTTGGATCTGTAGTATAAGGCATTGGAGCTTGGAAGCCTATAATAACTAAACTACGTTTGACCACAGTCATTTTACTACAGCTGTTTCGAAATGGCATCAACATACCTTTTACTCTATGTGAATTCTTGGCTCGCAGAATTAACAAGCCGATGTTAAAAATGGTGCATATGATTGACAAAATTAGTGGCTTCTTTCATTAAGATTTGGGTCAGAGCAGTTATTTTGACGTAGGACAATGACTTTGTGTTAAAATGACTCTGCAATTGAATTTTACAGTAGAAAGGTAACATTGTCTCTAATGGACCCCGGGAGTCTACTCGCAGAGTAGGAAGGAAGTTCACCCAGCTTTTCCGATAATGAGGGCACGATCGACCTCACCTAAGAGCCTCATGGTGTTGGTACTTATAACCATAGATCGATTGCTGCTGAAATGAATTTTTGTTGCTTTTTGTCATTTTCAAGTGATACAGGTTTTCCTTGTAAGATTCCATTTGCCTTTTACCGGACAAATAAATTTGTATCTGAAATCAATCATAATCATTAGCAAATGACCATGATAGTTAAATAGCTCACTTGACACGTGTTTTAACTCCTTAGCAAGTCTCTGGGACTGGCCTGGATTTAGCATTCTTTTGCTCTTTCCTCTGCCATTTTATATCGTCTAACACTTCCGAAACGGTCACGAAACAGACCTATAATCTTACCCAGAGGCTTCTAGCTTGTGCCCTCTTCTGAGTGCTGACGCGTTCTCTTCTCTCAGGTTGCTGTTGTTGTCCAGTCTGATCCAGTTAGGATGATGTCAGACACAATGGCATGGAAAGCTAGGACGGGCCCTGAACGTGAAGATGAATTCGTGCTTCAGAAGCCTCTCTTCACACTGACTACATACAACGAGCAGCAGGTAATGAGGGGAATTAGCAGGATTGGTGCACAATCCACGCCGAGAGTCGGAAGACCTGCTGAAGTGGGTGCTTTGAGGTACGAATTATTTTCAAGATGTACATTTCAACACCCTCATATTAGCATAGTTTTACTTCCAAATGATAATGCATAATTACTGCGTGAGTCTAAATATTAAAGAATTGTGACAGAAACCAAAACAGTTTAAAAAAATTATGTCTGTCACTGAAAAATTACAATGTTTTATTCAAGAGTCATTGATATAAAAACGTTATTGATATTGTTTTACAGTTCATGGATTTCTCTATTGTTGTATTAAGAATTTATATCTGAATTCACAATATAAACCCCATTAAATAAGCAATCGATGAGACTGACAGGCAGTATTGAAGACAGCTGGGTGATGCATGTTCTTAGAGCTAAGGGTAAAACATCTCCTGTGGAGACGCCCTTGAAGGATCACAAAGTTGTTGGTGGGAGCTTAGACTCCATGTTAGTTGTGGCTGGAACTGAAAAGGAAGATTGGAAAGAACTTTTAGGAGGAGGAGATTGGGAAAGAGGACATATGAATGAATGGATATAGCCAAAATTAAGGAAGAAAGCAGTCTTGAATTTTGTAGATCTAGAGAGAAGAAAAGCCCAACTCTGAAGAAGCCAAGTGAATCCAGAGCGCCTCTCCTGTCTGCTGCACACTTGGTAGTGAATAAGATGAAAACTCTATTCATTAATAATCAAACAGGTACCTAAGAAATAGATAACTATATTCTGGTTCCGTGTGAGCGTGTAGCTCTTGGCTCTATCCCATAAGAGCCAGACTGGTCTTTCCTGGAGGAAGGGAATAGAGAGTCCAGGCCAAGAAGGCGAGTACAGTATACAGAAGTGACGCACCAGGACAAGGCCACTTCTGTGCTGCCTGTGGGGGAGAGAATGGTTAACTCTGCTCTGTCTGGTAGGTTAGAGAGATGGAGATCTGAGCTTGAGGACTTGGGGCAGTAGCTCCTAAATTCATCCAAGGTGATTTACAGTTAAAGGGAAAAAATGTTAGTGTGCATAGGGAGAATTCCTTCTAAGAACGTGTAGGTGTCTCTCCAGAACCAGCTGCCAGTGTGGGAAGGCAGCCACACCCTAAAGGGGCTAAACTCAGAGGAAGGTAAAGTCCTAGGGAGCTGGGCCAAACTGCCAGGGCTTTCCCAGGCACAGGGATAGGAGGCGCTTCCTTGAGTGTCTTCACTGTGAGACAGGGGCAGGGAAGGGCACAGGCCGAGTGCTGAAACATGAGAGTAGAAACAGGCGAAGGCCCAACTGCGATATACAAAAAAACCTTTCTACTCAGACGACTGGCCTGGATCCTGTGTGTAGACAGGTTATTTGAAAGCAGGTTAAGTTAAATAACGGCATTTGTAATTTATCCTTGTATCCTGAATAGAAAGTGGATGGGTGTTGGGATGGGGGCGTGGAAGTGCTCGTGAGAGAGTCATGAGCAGCCAAGGAAGATTCCAGGCTAGACAAGGACCACTGCGAAGAGCCTGCATTGGGCATGCAAAGCCACACCCTCGATTTATTGGTTATGTGCGCTTGTCTAAGCTGTTAGCATTTTTATGTTTGTTTTTCTTCATCTTTAAAATAATTACTTGCAAAGTTCTTGTGAGGATTAGAAATAATGACTATCAGCTGCCTAGAATACTGCCTGCATTCAGCAGTAAGTCAACGGATTATTGCCATTTTGCAGATCTGCCATTAACCATGCAAAAAACCAGAAGGGGAAACAAAGCCTAGGGAGAATTAGTTTTGTTCATGTCATGTTTAGGGTGAAGAGGTGTAAAGTATGTTTTTGAGAAATTGATTACTGACATCTGGGGAGGAGAAACCTCCCCTCTTCATTTAGCTTTTACTAAAAAAAAAAGAAGAAGAAGAAGAAGAAGAAGAAGAAGAAGAAGAAGAAGAAGAAGAAGAAGAAGAAGAAGAAGAAGAAGAAAAAATGTCAAAGATTCACAGCCCTGGCCGGGGTGAATCCTGGGCAGAATTTGGGAATTAACTGCACACAGATCCCAGAGGGAGTGTGACTCCTTAAAAATGTGTGAGAATAAATGGGGACAGAAAAGGAAAAGCCTGGGTCCTAGGCTCAATGAGTTGTCTCTCTGACAAGGACCTTTGGGTTATGCCTGGCCTCACTCACATCACTAGCCCAGCCCTGTTTCCAATGCATCACTAGCCCAGCCCTGTTTCCAATGCATCACTAGCCCAGCCCTGTTTCCAATGCATCACTACTCAGCCCTGCTTCTGATTGGTTGCTGTTTCATCTTCCTTTCAGGTATTTCTAACAGTTGTTTCCTATCTACTTCTGGACATGCTTAGGTATTTATTACGTCATGACGTCATGACGAGACAGTCAAAGGACTCCTGACCCCACCTCCTTCTCTTCTTTCCCTACCACCTTAGTTTATTCTGACTTTATGATCAGATCCACACTTTCATGCTAAAATCAGAAGTAACCAACACGGTGCTAGCACAGATGTCGAGACTTTGAAATCCACACCCCAGTCTGAGTGTCCTTTCTTGACAGAGTTCCTCAGTGCAGTGTTCTCCCTCAACTCCCCTGATCCCAAAATATACCTGCTTCCTCTCAGCATTAGTGTGTGAGGCCTCCCTCTCTGACTTGATCTCTCTTCCTCCCTCTGATTTAAAGATTAAGCCAGATTTCACTGTTGCCCAGTTGTTTCTTCTCTGAGGTCATCCTCCTGGAAGCAGTATCCCACACACTTGGATGTAGCTTATGTTGGAAATAAATCATGCACTGGAAAGTGATGATCTCAAAAACGGTTTGAACATTTCTAGTAAAATCTCGGCAACCACAGACCTAGCAAGATTTATTGGCATCTAACCATCTTCTATACCTTAAAAAAAAAATATAAGACTTGGAAAAATATAAAAATTAGTGATAAATTTACTTCAACTAAATGAGTTGTTTCTTTAAATTGTATTTTATATCTGCAGATAACTTCTGATCCTAGACTTAGATTTGAGCTAGCGCTTCGCGAAGCTGGACTCCATAAGACACAGTAAGCCAAAGAGATGCTACCAAAAATCGGTCCTCTGAAGCCTCCAAGGAAGGACACAGAGTCGACTGTATTCAAAACCTAGAGGGCACATGTAAACAGTATATGGATATGGATAATGATGACCACTGCTTCTGGATGCTTAATAACCACCAGACATAGAAATCATAGCATTTATTAAACAACTTTGCCTTTTTTAATATTCAAAGTTTTATGCACTATTCCATTTTTCTTTAGGTAACCAAATTCACCAAATCTATGGGACTTTGGTATATATGGTGTCGTTTGGTAGGATGCTATTTTGGAGGATTTCTTCCAGAAGTTTAAAATAACCATTTGTAGGAAGCATATCTTCCACAGAGCTTCTGTTTGTTCTTCCACAGTTTGACTTTTAATTATGGAAGCTCTACTATCAGTTACACTTCTATTGTTTTTCGTTGTTTGTGTGTGTGTGTGTGTGTGTGTGTGTGTTTGAAGGAGGAGATTTAGCCTTTTGCTGTATTTAGAAACCAGTTTGATACATCATGCTTACTGCAAATCAGTCATCTGAACAATCTATTTGCAAATTTGCCTTAAGAGGACAATAGAAGTGGTGTCTCCATCATGGGAATACTGATTTTGCCTGGGAAGACATGGCTGTGTGGTTGTTTAGAAGGAAAACTGAAATTTTATGATACTTCAAATATCAAAAGTTGCAAATTACCTAAGAAATACCTAAATGATTTTCTTGAAGAGAAGTATTTAATATAAAACTCGCCCATAAATTCTCGGCTACTTCTAAAAAGCAGTGATTCCAGCAAGAAAATGTGTTGTTAAAACCTCCTGCTGTAGTAGTAGGAAGACTAGCTATTTTCCCCTCTTTATTGCTATTCCCCTGTATTTCCCATCTACCTCTAGCATGGGGTTGTTGTCTCTAGGTACTTATGAGAATGCTCTGCAAATCATAAAATCCAGGGCTGAGGATGAGGGTCAGTTAGGAGAAGGTGTGCCTAGTATGCCCAAAGCCCTGACTTCAATCCCCAGCACCCTGTAAACTCGATGTGGTAGCACACACCTGTAATTCCAGCACTCAGAAGACGGGGGAGGGGGGGGGCAGGAGACTCAGAGGTTCAAGGTCATCCTTGTCTTTATAGTGAGTTTACAGCCAGCCTGTACTACAGGAGACCCCACGGAAAAAAAAGAGAGGGAGAGATGAAGAGAGAAAAAGTGCAGGGGAGATGAAGGAATGGGAGGAAAAAATGCAGGAAGAGACAATCAAGCAGCATGGAAAACAGTCTGACTGGGATTCTTCATGACCACCCCCCCATATCATGAGTTTAAGGAAAACCAACCCAGCCTGTTGGTATACATTTCCTTATTTATAAGAGGTCCCACAGGGGAAAAAATGTTACCCATACTCCACAGTTCATCCCAATGCCTTCCTACTTCAGCTCTTTGCATCATTTATAATATTTCATCAAAAAGTGGGGGGATCTTTAGGAAAAGGTGGAGAGCGTTGGGCATGGATTTGTCTTGGGTACTTTTCAAGGGGTTATAAATGATATATTTATGGGGCCCTGACTATAAACCCATGAAAACCTGCTGTAACAGAAAACACCCTGTGCGAACAGCAAGATGCGGATGATGCTGAGTCTGTGGATCCTCATAGACATGAACATCCATACCAGAGTCCTGGGATAACATTCAAACACTACTGAAATATTAATTCCTTTTACACTCTCTTAATAGCTAAAGTTTCCTAGCTGGTGCCACCTTCTTAGCATGTAGCACTGCCATTCTGAGAGAAAGGAAGATGTCATGTGTGCTGTGATGAGAACCGAATTGCACTCTGGGCAGCAGTCTAGCCATTGGCTGTGAGCAGACTCCAATGCTAATAGTTTTCTTTAAAGTTTAAAACTGTACTAATAGTAGCTATTAATTATTGAGTATAAGCTGAAAACTTAGCATCGGTATGTGCTTTCCATATGTCTGATCATCCTCACAGTCTTATGATATGGTTCTTGTCATTTTAAAGATCTAGAAACAAGTTCAGAAAGAGAATATACATTTGTCAATTGTCTTTAAGCAGAGACATTACACTAATGTAGTGAGTCCTGACCGTTTTTAGGTAAAATGAAAGAAAACGATCTGAAATCTAAATGATGAATAAACACACAAGAAGATTAAAAAAAGAATGCTCATTCAGCCCCCCTGTGAATGACCAGTATCCAGCCACCAGACAGTCAGCATTGTCAACGGAGGTAGCAGCCGCAGGGAAATGGGAAGATGAAGCACAGGCTGTCATCCCAGCGTTTGGAAAGGGGACACAGCAGGGTCAGGAATTCCAGGTCGCCCTCAGCTATACATGGGTGGAGCCAGCCTAGGCTGCATGGTCCAAAGCCAAAGGGGCAGAACCACCTGCGTGGTGCACACATCTGTAATACGAGCACTTGGGAGGTGAAAGCGGAAGGATTAGGGGTTCGAGGGCAGTCTCGGGTGTACAGAAGTGTATCCGACACGGTCTGAGAAAGGAAAGCAGAGGAAATAGGAAGCACGTGTTAGTGTGCCAGCACTAAAACAATGAGCATTTTTATCATCTAGACTTCACACTATCTTCTTCCACTTTACTTAAAAATGGTCAGGACTCACTTGTAGCTGGAGACTTCTCTCGGTCCCTCCCGGTCCTGCTGGACCAGTTTCTCTCCCGCACACCGGTACCCCGGCCGCTTATAGAATAATCATTTGGAGGCTTAATATTAGTATTAATTATAATTGCGTGACCGATGCCTCAGGATTCTTACTGCCTAGCTCTACACATGAATTCATCCATTTCCACTAATCCATGGATCGCCATGCTGACCGGTAATGCTGTGGCATCTTACACCTCCAGTAACTACTGGCATCTCCCCGACTCCACCTTCTTTCTCTCTGGATCTCTGCTTGGATTTCTCACCTAGCCATATTCTGCCCTGTCATAGGCCAAAGCAGCTTCTTTATTAACCAATGGTAATAAAATATATTCACAGCAAACAGAGGGGAATTCCACAGCACTCATTGCACTAATTTGATATCTCTATTTGAAGGCAACTGATAAATGTATATTATTTCATCTTTCTGAACTTATTTCTGTATCTTTAAAATGACAAAGGGCACCCTTGCCTGCTGAGGTAGTGGTTTTTCTAACCCTTGACTCAGCAACTCTCCCCCTAGATATATGCAATTGAGAAGCCCCTACATCAGTGTGGGGTGGCAGACACTGGGGTTCAGAAAAGAAAACAAACAAAATTTCATCAGTTCCAAACTGGACAGATATAAAAATTATGGTATATTTGTTTATGAAATTACATATCACAAAGGAAATGGGGGAATTTTATCGATATGTGCATTATATTTCCCAAAAGGAATGAAGTGTCATATTTCATTTATCTAAAAGAACAAAAACCTGCCAAGATAATCTGCAATGCTTATGGATACAAGGGAGGCAAGGCAATAAAGAAAAGCAAGAAAATAAAAATCAAGGTGAGGATTGTCTTGGGTGATTAGGAAGACAGGAAGGATTGAAGCCCCACAAGTTCCTGAAGGTGTCATATTGCTTAACCAAATGTGACTGCAGAATGTTTCTGAACTTCTCAGGACCATGTATGTAATTTGCATACTGTTATGTGGCAAATTCCAGGAAAATAAAAAGGAACTTAAAAAGCAAATAATTCAAAGCAGAATTTGTGAATGTACATGTGCATCAAGAATAGTCTTTTCAGTTGAGATCCGGTATAATAGACCCAGTCTGCATACATTTCTGAGGTAAGAAGACCTGTCCCTTGTTGGGAGTCTTGCTTCTCTTGACATGTTCTTGCTTCCCACTCCGGTGCCCTGTAACATTTTGATTCTTGTGCTTTGGACTTTGTCCTAAATGGCTTGAAAAAGAAAAAAAAAAAAAAAAAGAAGGATGTACCCCCAAACACCAAGCATTATATTCATGGGCACTTGTACGTGTCTGTGTTATGTGTTGGGTTTTAACTTAACAAAAATGTATTTGTTGGTAGTGTTTCAAAGTTAATTGAAACTGCTGAAGAGATAGCTCAGCAGTTAATAGTATGCACTGCTCTTGTAGAGGACCCTAGTTTGGTTCCCAGCACCCATGCCGGGCAGCTCACAACCATCTGTAACTCCGGCTCCAGGAGAGCTGTTGACCTCTGTAGGCATCTATACTCAAATTCGTGCATGAATGCATGCATGTACCCACGTATACCCGCACTTGTGTGTGTGTGCACACGCGTGTGCGTGCACACACACACACAAAAATTTAAATAAATAAATCTTGAAAGAAAGAAAAGGAAAGGAAGGAATCCATTGCTACTAAATTGCCCCATCTGATTCATCTCCATCTTTGAGGGCAGTGGGCTGTCTCCACCTGGAGGAAGACTGTGTCTTCTGTCTTGTAGGAAGGCCCTCCCCCTCCCATGAACCCACAGTCTAGGCTCCCCTTTTACTTCCTCTTGTGGAAGGAGTTGCTCTCATGTGAGTTTTGGTTTTCCTTCCTTCTCAACGCTACAAGAATTGTGTTGTGGCAGCTCATTTCCTTTCTTTTATCTTTAAGCCTTTCTTGAATCTCCAAATATGGTGGAATAAAGTCCAGTGTTTGAGCAAATGTCTGTCAGTCCATGTTGTCTTCTAATTACCCAGCTATTTCTTGCTTCTCCTCCAGGAGCATCTTTAGAGAGTTGCCTGTAAACATTCAATGCTTCTCCTGCCTTCCCGTTGCTGGTTCACTGCTCAGGTCCAGCCTTATCCTCTTCTGGCACTGTTTATAGCAAGATCAACAATGAGCTCCATGCTGGCACCTGACGGGCTTTAATCTCTGTCTCCCTGAAACGGAAGCAGCTACTGGTCCAGGGCACAGCAGCCCACCTTGAAACAGGTTCTTCTGGTTTCTGTTACTCCTCCTGTTTTACATCCTGCCACTTTGGCTGCATCTCACCTTCTTTTGCCAACTCCCTCATCTCTATCCAGCTCTCCATATGGGAATATTCTATGATTGCACCCTGGGAAGAAGGAACTTCAGACTGAGAAACGGCCTCCATCAGATTGACAAGTATGTCTGTGGAGCATTGTATGGATTGCTAGTAGATGGAGAAGGGCTCTTGCCCGCTGTGGACAAGGTGTGGGCCTGGTCTGTGTGAGAAAGGTAACCAAGAAGAGGGAGCAAGCCAGGAAGCAGCATTCCTCTGTGGTTTCTGCTCCAGGCTCCTACCTTGAGTTCCTGGATGATGGACTATCACCTGTAAGATGAAATACACCCTCTCCTTCCCATGTTGTTTTTTGGTCACAGCAGCATAAAGCTCAGTGGGACACACCATCCAATATAAGCAGGCCTTCTTCCTTTATTGCTCAGAACCTTAAAGTAACCCTTTTTCTTCTCCTGGTATTTAGTAGTATAAGAGAAGAAGCCAAATTGTTT